GCACCATTGCATGACCGCGCAATTGTCAGTTAAAGTAACGCAGCGCTGTAGTGCAAAAAATGGCCTGGTCAGGAAAGGGGGGGGGGTAAATCCGTAAATCCTCTGGGAGGGCAAGTGGTTAAAGTGTTACTAAACCCACAACAGTAAAAACAGCCTGTATATGCAGTAAAGCATGCTTGTTATACTCACTGTGAAAACTAAGGGGTTATTCCTGTGCATTGTGTAAAAAGACTGTTTGATCCTGACTTCTCTGATCCTCCTCTTATTCCACTATCCCCCCTTATCTCCTGATAAAACATTGTGTGGAGTCACTCTGCACATGCTCAGTTTGGTGTGCATTGCTAGAGAGGTTTTTCTTTTTCTTGGGAGAGTGCATGTGATCAGCACTGTCCAGACAGAGGTCAGGGGTCCTGCATCCTCCTAGAGCAAAATTAAAACTACTCCTATAAGATTAACCAGTGCTCGACTGGACACTGATAGAAGTCACAAGACTGCTATATACTGCTGATGAGAAAAGGTATTTAGCAGTATTTACTAAAATAATTACACTTCCATGTTCTGTGTACTGTGGGAGACCAGATATAGTGAATGCAGGGTCTGGGTTTAGTAACACTTTAATGGTAACCTAAAGCCAAAATATTTTGAGTATAGTGATGAGAGGAATCCCTGTCAGGATTTTATTGCTAGATTAAAGTGATTGTAAACTTTTTTTTAAATAACATGGTATACTTAACTACTTTGTAATAGTTTTGCACATCCTCATCTTGATTGGGTTCCCTGCCGGCGCTCCTGGCTCCTCTTCTCAGTGTGCCACCACAGGAAGCTGCTTCTTATTGTGGCACACCTGCAGGCTCGATCCTGAGCCATGCTGCCCGAGTCTATAGAGAGACAGTGTGGCTCTGCCCACCCCCCACTCCCTCATTACAGAATTTGATTGACAGCAGGGGGAGCCAATGGTTCCCACTGCTATCAGTCTTCCCTGTGAGGGGGGAGAAAGAGGACAGAGCCGCTGCTCTTGGGCACAGAGCTTGAACAAGATCAGGCTCAGGTAGGAATAAGTGGGAGCTAGGAGGGATCCAGCAGCACAGAAAGGTTTTTACCTTAATCAAGAGACTGCATTAATATAAAAAATCCCTAAACCTATAGAACCACTTTAAATAAATAGCCAACACCCTTTAAACACAATTTAATAAGATGTTAATAACATATAGTAGCTACAATGCCTTTTCAAGTCCTTCTGTGCAGTGAAATCTAAAATTCTAATTATAATCCTTGGACAAGTAAACCAATAAAGAGATTAAAGGCAAGTATGCCTGGAGGTAACTGACCCTGCATTACAGGCGCATGTTCTCCCTGTGCTTGCATGAGTTTCCTCCAATCTAGTTTCCTCCAACATGCTGGAAGGTTAATTGATTGCTGGCTAAATTATCCCTAATATGTGTGTGTATACATTTCAGATAGGGACCTTGGATTTTAACTTTCTTGATGGCATGTACTGATGTGAATGTACTGCATAAATTGTCAGGCAATGTAATTACCTGTAGTAATATTTCTGACTCACAGACCTAGATCAGCATGCTGCTGCGGGTCTGAGTTCTGGGATGCATTTGCACCTGTGAATGTCCCCACTCTCCGATTAGGTCCCCTGAGGGAATTCTGTGATTAGCTGTGCTAGGCAGCCCTTTTGAAAGCAATGAGAGGCTGCTGGGTGACGCAGCTAACTGTGGCCACTCCCATGTAATCACTCAAGCAACAATCACATACGTGTGGTCATGCTGGATGCAGGCAGGTTGCCTACAGGGCCAACCACTCACATGTGATTGCTGCATTGGTGAAAACATGTGAGTGCCCATGATTAGCTGCGATAGCAAGTAGCCGGCAGCCTCCCATTACTTTCAAAAGGACTGCCTCCCACAGCTAATCACAGAAACCCCTGCTGGGGTTCTAACATCTAATCGGAGAATGGGGACATTTTCAGGTGTGGATGCACCCCTACACCTCAGAGAATTTCTTACATCTATATTTACCAACAGTATCAGCATGGAAGCCAGTCGACAAGTATTTTCAGAAGGAGAGGACAGCAATGGATGTCTGCATATTTCTCTCATCAGAAGTGCACTTTATCAAATCAAACTGTAATATACACAGATTACCTTTTAAATAAATACTTACACCTTCCTTTGTTGGCCGTGCAGGATCATGGGCAGCAGATTTTGAGCCAATATCTTCATTCTGTGTCAACATAATAGACCAAAAAGAAATAAATGGAACAATATTGGATTAATTCTGTGTATTCACCAACACACTTCAGTTTGGTTACATCATATTCAAAAGGGGGTCCGATATCTGTAACCTTTATTTCTCTGATAAGATTTACATTAAAAAAAAAAAACCATTTCCCCGATCCACGTTAACAGTTTGAATGGAGAAATCTCCACTGCTGGCTATTGTATTCAGGCAGCTATGGCACCCAAGGCTACCGAAATACAGTGGCACTGCCAAACAATGACCGAATCTGATAGGCTGCGGTCAATTTCCAGCCACTAATTTTTCACCCAGCGCATTCCATTTTAAATTAACTTTTGTCACGCCCAATGGTATTTGCAAGGCCACCCACTGCTTGAACTTCAGACAGTTCAGGAAGAATGGTCAAAATTCAAGCCATCTATGAGGACATATATCTAAACAATGAACATGTGTGCTCCTTCTGTTAAAGTGTCACAGTCAGGAGCAAACAAAAAGACAAAAGTGTCAGATCCCTGGAGGGATTAAATGTATCTCTCCAGTAGTCTGTGTAAGCTCCTTTCCCTCCAGTGCTGCAGCCTCCTTCAGCCTCTTCAGTATTGAGCCATGTGTCGGTATTGTGCCAGATGTTTGTTTCCCTCGCTGCTGTTCTATCCTTCCACCCTTACAGGACACAGCAGTCACATCGGGGTAGAAGAACTGAACCACAGTGTATGATGGGGAACACAGGAATCCAACACGCCCAGAACTGTTAAATGCTGGAGAGGCTGCAGCACTGGAATGAGGCTGGGGATGTGGGAAGATGGAAAGGTAAGTGGAATACCTTGTCTATTGTAGGAATTTTCATTACATTTTTGTTGGGTGTCTGACATTGTTGCTTTAACATCCTTTGACCGTTAATGGTCAGCCAATTTTTTTGCTGTTGATAAAAATGGGAGGCATTAGTACCACTGCTCCACTGGGGAGATTTTCCATCGCTTCCTGACTCCGTGACAATTGTCTCCAATCTCTGGAGGTGGATTGTGAAGTTTTTATAGTTCTCACCGCTCACTAGGGACACCTTGTGAGAACTGGCAACTGAAGTTGAGATGTCTCCATACCTTTCCAAGATTTTTTTTTATTAAAAAGGTTTTGGTGTGTGTTCCAGAGTCTAGTCAATAAAAAGACCTTCAATGAGTAAACCTAATTCCTCCATTACATGTCAAGGTCACCTCATGGCTTTTCAGTCACATTGTGATGGCCAACTGTAATCGATATAGCAGACCAGCACGATGACACCATTTCAAAAATGTGTGTAGAGAAAAGGGATGCAAAGGCAGCTGTTTTTCTCATTACGACACAGACTAATCAAATTGTGACAATAAACCTTCAATTATTAGTCAGTTTGATAAAAGCGCTGTAAAGAATTTAATCAATCTCCAGAAAAGAAAAGGGAAAGAACCCTAAAAAAAAAAAAGTTAATTGAATCCTTGCGAAGTATATAGTTCACCAGGATATTCTAGCACCTTACATAACCACTGGATCAAGCTCTGCATACCTGCTCCATTTTAGTTCAGTAAGAAGATGGCAAGCATGCAATTTCTCACGGACATTTGGGCGATATATAAGCCTACAAATTGATGATTTGACCAATTGTCAACAGAAGTGACATATGACTTGTCTACAAGAAAGATACAGTATATACACGTATGCAAACAGTAAAATGTTTTGGATTCTTAGGCAGGCCATAGTTCATGCGATTTTTGTTCCTGCAACAACAGGTTGCAGGATAGAAAATAGCTTAATTCCCCCATCAACACAGTCAGTATTGATAGAATCCTTCCCGTGGAGCTATTGTGTTCTCCCGACAGCAGGGGGGAGCACAGGGAGCTGTCCCTGCCGAGAGAACACAATGATTATTTCTAGCAGCTATAGCCGCTGGCAGTAATCGCATGCTAAAAATATGATATGCTGGTTGTACTGAAGTCGATCAATGGATTGACTTGGGTACAACCAAGCCTGCCCATAGATGGATGGAATCTCAGCTGGTCTCTGCTGAAACAGCTAAGATCTGATCTATCTATGTCCAGCTTTAGTGGTCCAGTTACTACACCTAAGGATTGATTAGTTGGTAATATGTTAACTCAGTGGACACATTTTGTAAAGGTGATTCTAATACATGATAGCTCTGTGGATGCCATTGACATTTTGATATAGTTCAAGTCATTCTTCTGGACATATGGTCATATGGTTTTGTTTGAGTTGCCACCAGGGGTTAATATCTTCATAGCAAGACACTTATGAAGACAGATTATAGTTAGAGCAAGGAACAACCTGTCAGGTTTTTCATTGGTAACATTTTCCCTTGCCTCCTCTCCTGGAAACAGGACAGAGAGTCTGTGGAAAAGTTCTACAAAGTAAGGGGAGATCCAAACTCTGAAGGATGCCACTGGAACAGGTGTCCCCTTAGTAGATTTCCTCCCGTTTATTGTCAAAGTGACTAATGTAGAATTTTAAATTTTTTTTTATACCTTTATGGCCCAATGAAGGCCACTAGGCTGACCTTGGGAATATTCACCTTCTCTATTGGTCTTGGTGACAATTGACCAACAGGGACCCAGTCCCAATTAAAACCTGAAATAGGTTGCAACTCTTCCCCACTCTATCCAAACTTTAAAAAATAAATAGGGTTGACCAGAGTTCTACTTTATTAACATGCATTCTTTTTCTTTACTCTGACATACTGGGATTACCACATGCAATTATTTGGGGCATTCTCATATTGACTTCAAAGAGTTTATTACCTGAATGCCTTGTAATACTGGAGCTGGGTCTGTTAGAATTTCTGTAGTGTCTGTAGGCTGTGTTTGGGTTGATGTTGTCTTTGGTACCTATGAAGTATTAAAATGTATTTATGGTCATATATTCATTCCCACACTGAATTTCAATTATTTCAGCCTACTCATATTAATCTGAACGAGCAAGTTTGAAGAATACCACACATTTACTTCCTTGAATTCTGTGACACATTCACTATGCCCTGTGAGTATGCACTATTTGTCACACATCTCACAGAGCCTGCCTGCTGAACTACAGAAGCACAGCAAGTACAGGAAACACTGCACATCATATCTGCTTGTGTGCAACAAGGCACTATGGATATGTAGTCCTTCAAAATCAAAAGTAAACCAAAAAGGAGGAGCAGAGGAGACACTGCAAAGAATGCAAGTTGTTGAAAAAGATGGCCAGCAGACAAAAATTACCTGCTTGCAAAATTGTATAATAGAAACAAAGAAATGTTTTTTTTTTTCTTCAAATTTTTTTTGTTCTTTTTTGTTTATAGTACAAAAAATAAAAAACACCCAGCGGCAATTAAATACCATCAGAAGAAGAAAGCTCTATTTGAGTAAAAACAATGATAAAAATTTCACATGGGTACAGTGTTGCATGACTGCACAATTGTCATTCAAAGTGCAACAGCGCTGAAAGCTGAAAATTGGTCCTAGGCAGGAAGGGGGTATAAGTGCCCGGTAGGCAAGTGGTTAAGAAAACTGGATACAGTGAGGCATGCTGCCAAACATACCGAAAAAATATTTAGGGTTTGCGCACACTTTAAAACTATTTGTACCATCATTCAAGCGACAGCCACTCTCACCTCCACTGTCGGCTTGACAGGCATGATGGGTTTCGGTTTTACATCTGTCAGATAAAGGGCTCGAGACAGGAGCAGGAGTGATGGGGGAACATTCTCCTTCAAATGCAGATCCAACCACTAAAGAAAGAAAGAAACAGAAGACATAAGTGACCCTGTCACTGGTACAAATGCCAAGATGTATGAAAGTGTATAAAAAGATTTGTGTGCCATCGGCTAATACATCAGGTTCCTGCACCCAGACGTTTGTGGAATGGGAGTCTGAAATACCATAGCCAATACTACAGTACTTTCAAACTCAAATATTTATTGACAGGAATCCTCTCATCAACCCCAGCAGTACAACAGAGCAATCTGCCAAACTCAGGTATCATGTCACCCATCCAAGTTGGCTCAAGGTCCTCCTTCCCTCACCCTTACCCCCCCAGCATCCTTTCCATTAATTGACCTACCCCCATTACCATTCCCATACCATCACCCTGTATTCCTACCAGACCCCTGATACCCCTTTTTTCTCTCTCCCCTCCCCACCTCTAATTCCTCTCTTTACCCCCTCCATAATGATACCCCTATATTGTCGGTTTCCACCTTTACACTCTCCCCTTCACCTTTCTGGAGAAACAATGTGACATTTTGTATGCTGGATCATTTTTAACTCTTTTCATAGTTAGTTGTTAACGGGAGTCTAATCCAAGCACATAGCACACACAGCACTCCTCTGCCCCTCCACCATTTCAATGTCCCTTGACCAGCCCTGTATGGAGGTAACTTGATGCAACATAGCCATTACCCCAGAACACAGCATCTTTACATGCCTAGGTGCCCCTGCCTCTCCCCAAAGAGCTTGTCTGTCTAAAAGCTTCTTTGGAAAACTATCACTAACATGCATCAATACAATGGTATATTCTGGATTGTACAATGTCTATGTTAAAATCAACATATGATATGGTATATGTCTTCAAGTATATTTAAATACTGTATTCTCCTAGATGACCTGTGAACATTTGTATTTTTTTTTTTTTTTTTTTTTTTATAAAAGTAGATCTGTATTTCCTGCTCATAGAGTTATAATTAAATTAAGACTAGACCAGTGTTTCCTATCCAGGGTGGTGTTTGGGTTTTCCCTGTGTGCCGCAAGCATGAAACCCAGTTGCCATCACTGCCATGGTGTTGGGGGCCTACCTATACCATGGCAGTGCATAACGCTGATCCTGGGCAGGCAGCATGCAAGGCCACCCCCAGCATTCAGGAAGAGATGGAAATCCACAACCTCCAGACCCGTTTCACATGCAGGCCTCTAGCGCGATACTGGAGCCAAAAAGTAGAGCTCTGGTGTGAAGAGGGGACTGTGTGGTGATGGAGGAGGAACCTCTAATGTGAAGGGGGACCTCTGATATGAAGTTAATATCATCAAGGTGATTATGTGCATTGTCCCAGGCTCAGGTTTCCCATTGTAAAGTGAAATTGTTTTTTTTTTTACATTTAATACTGGGATACCTTGAGATTTTGCATACTTTTAAATGTCAGGACTGATAAAAAGTTAAGAAACACTGCACTAGACCATGAAAGGAGTTACAATGGGCAACGCAGCTTTTCCTTCTTTTAGTAGCATTATACCTGCTTCATCTGTTCTTTGAGTTGTTCCTCCGTCAGACCCAGCGAGCGCATCCCTCTTGTTCTGCTGGCCGCTTGAAGCTCAGCCACAGTAAGATTGTCCACCCCTTCCTTTGATATCATCTGCACACCGGAAGAAGAGAAAAACTATCTTTAAATTTTGCTCATCTGAGTAGTGTTACGATTATGCAAACATGATTTATAATATTATAAATTTTTTGTAACTACAAGAACTGACATTTAACTCCTAGATCTCAATGGGTACCGATGAAGCTCTAGCTTTCCTTTATACACCATGGCATTGATATAGTCATTTCATGAGAACCTGTCAAAAAGTGGCATTTGTGAAAATCTCATTCTCCATTCAAGTTGTTATAAAAGTCTGAAGAAAGTGAAGTAGAGTACCAAGTGATTGGAAACAGAAAGCCAGAATATACAGATAGTCTAGAGGCAGGAAGCAGGGCACAGATGCCTGGAGGGTAAGCAGTGTACAGAGAGATGCCTGGAGGGTAAGCAGTGTACAGAGAGATGCCTGGAGGGTAAGCAGTGTACAGAGAGATGCCTGGAGGGTAAGCAGTGTACAGAGAGATGCCTGGAGGGTAAGCAGTGTACAGAGAGATGCCTGGAGGGTAAGCAGTGTACAGAGAGATGCCTGGAGGGTAAGCAGTGTACAGAGAGATGCCTGGAGGGTAAGCAGTGTACAGAGAGATGCCTGGAGGGCAAGCAGTGTACAGAGCGATGCCTGGAGGGCAAGCAGTGTACAGAGCGATGCCTGGAGGGCAAGCAGTGTACAGAGAGATGCCTGGAGGGCAAGCAGTGTACAGAGAGATGCCTGGAGGGCAAGCAGTGTACAGAGAGATGCCTGGAGGGTAAGCAGTGTACAGAGAGATGCCTGGAGGGTAAGCAGTGTACAGAGAGATGCCTGGAGGGTAAGCAGTGTACAGAGAGATGCCTGGAGGGTAAGCAGTGTACAGAGAGATGCCTGGAGGGTAAGCAGTGTACAGAGCGATGCCTGGAGGGTAAGCAGTGTACAGAGAGATGCCTGGAGGGTAAGCAGTGTACAGAGAGGTGCCTGGAGGGTAAGCAGTGTACAGAGAGATGCCTGGAGGGTTAGCAGTGTACAGAGAGGTGCCTGAGGGTAAGCAGTGTACAGAGAGGTGCCTGGAGGGTAAGCAGTGTACAGAGAGGTGCCTGGAGGGTAAGCAGTGTACAGAGAGATGCCTGGAGGGTAAGCAGTGTACAGAGAGATGCCTGGAGGGCAAGCAGTGTACAGAGAGATGCCTGGAGGGTAAGCAGTGTACAGAGAGATGCCTGGAGGGTAAGCAGTGTACAGAGTGATGCCTGGAGGGTAAGCAGTGTACAGAGAGATGCCTGGAGGGCAAGCAGTGTACAGAGAGATGCCTAGAGGGTAAGCAGTGTACAGAGAGATGCCTGGAGGGTAAGCAGTGTACAGAGAGATGCCTGGAGGGTAAGCAGCGTACAGGAGTGATGCCTGGAGGATACAATAGTGCAGCAGGAAGGATTTCTCATCCACCTCAATTGTGTGGATAGGTTAATCAGTTCAGTTTTTTTTTGTTCATCCCCCTGTCTGAATAGAAAAAAAAAAAAAACTGAGCCATGTATGGCCAGCTAAACAGTGTGTGCAGTGAAGGCCTGGAAGGGAAATAAATGTACAGAGTGACAGTAGAAAGCAGTCCAAAGGACAACAGTCTGGAGATGAAAGCAGTGTACAGAGTGGTGTATAGAAAGAAGATCTGCAGACAGGAAGCAACATGTACCATTTGTGGAAAAAAAAATATTCAATAGGAGCATGTAAAATAAACAAGAGAATGGTGAAGGATCTGGGAGTTCTGGTAGATCACAAGCTTAATAATGGCATGCAATGCCAAGCTGCGGTTTCTAAAGCGAGCAAAATCCTCTCTTGTATTAAAAGAGGTATAGACTCCAGAGAGAGAGATATCATATTACCCCGGTACAAATCATTAGTAAGACCTCATCTGGAATATGCAGTTCAGTTTTGGGCACCAATTCACAAAAAGAACATTGGAGAACTGGAGAAAGTACAGAGAAGGGCAACCAAACTGATACGAGGCATGGAGGAGCTCAGCTATGAGGAAAGATTAGAGGAACTATATTTATTCTCTCTTGAGAAGAGGAGATTAAGGGAGGATATGATCAACATGTATAAATACATCAGTGGTTCATATACTGAACTTGGTGTAGAGCTATTCACCCTGAGGTCATCACAGAGGACAAGGAGGCACTCTTTACATCTGGAGGAAAATAAATTTAATCTCCAAACCCGGAAAGGTTTCTTCACAGTGAGAGCTGTGAAAATGTGGAATAAACTCCCTCTGGTTCTGGCCAGCTCAGTGGATTGCTTCAAAAAAGTCCTGGATTCTCTCTTAGATACACAGAATATAACTGGATACTAACATTTATTGGTAAAGTTGATCCAGGGAATATCCGATTGCCTCTCGGGGAATCAGGAAAAATTTGTTCCCCTGTAGGAGTAAATTGGATCATGCTTTGCTGGGTTTTTTTGCCTTCCTCTGGATCAACTGTGGGTATAGAATTATAACTTTTTTTTTTTTTTATGGTTGAACTGGATGGACTTTTGTCTTTTTTCAGCCAGACTAACTATGTAACTATGATTTCCTAAGCTCACCTCATCATCTGCTCGTATGGACCGGAGCTTCATAAGCAGCTGAAATCGTAGCAAGTTATTGGTGCCAATTGGTGGCAGTTCAAGCAACCGGCACAGGGCGGCCAACTGAGACCTTTCCAGGTGCTCAAGAGTCAGTTCATCCTCAAAGAGCTTTGAGAATTGCACTATTTCCTGTGTGGAGGGCTGTGCTCCAGTGACCCGTACCTGAAATAAAAAGACAGGCAAGTAAGGTTTATTTTTTTAAATATGTAACACAGATTCCATATCCCAATAAAAGACCAGTCAAACCTGCTGAACATAAGATGAAAATTGCTGCTGTCTATCTGCCCCGGTCTCTGCCTTGTTCCTCTGTGCCATCTCTGAGATTGTCTCCTGAAGGAACTTAGCCATTTCCAGTTTGGCTCCGAGTTTCTTCTTGATCTTTTCCTCCTGAACAACGACCATAGCCAGAAAAGACACAAAAAATACCATTTAAAAGAAATCTTCCATCTAAACAATGTTGAGAAACAGAGAAGGAAGTACAGATAGCAGAGAATATTAAAGTACTAATTCATAAATGAGGTAACCCCCATCATTTAGGCCTCATGCACACTGGGCATAAAAAAATTGCTGCTTATACAGGCATTTGGAATCATTTCTTTCAGCCTTTAGAAGAACTCTAGGTTATCATCACAAATGTGTTTTTGAGAGGAGCTTTCAGGCAGAAAAAACACTTGACGCGCCTAAACACAGCATTTAGGCACATCAAGCGTTTTTACGTGTACATTTTTCTTTGTTTTTTTCTTTTTTTTTGTTTATTAATCTTTATTATCATTTTACAAAGTCTAACAAGCAGTTAACAAGATTCTCTTTTAAATTTCACGATTTCATTTTTTAAAAACATCAAAATAATACAGCTAGAACCATTTTTCTACCTCATGTTCATGTATCTCACAGAAGAGGTCTACTGCATTTAGCTTCTAAACAATTCCAAGCATAATAGAAAATAAAAGAATATTAATTGCAGTTCACACTTAGACTATAAATAATTATAAGAGAAAAAATGAAAAGAAACAGAAGGAAGAAAAAAAACCCACTCCACAAACAACCACACTCACAAAAACACATGCACCTCATAGAGCATCCTTTAATCACCATTTTATAAATTTAGCTTGAAATATAAACCTGGTATCTATTCTATAAAAGATCTCAGAATATCAGAATTCATAAACTCAACCCAAGGGAGCCAAACCGACAGATACTTATGATAACATTCATGTATAGTTGCTGTCAGTTCTTCCAATCTCTTTATTCTATTTATTTCACCTATCCACTACTTGATAGAGGGGAGAACTTGAACATTCCAATATCTTGAGATTACTGTACGTGCCGCAGAAAATAAAGAACACTACAGTCCTCTTTTTGATGTTCTCTCAGAATCTGTAAAGATAAATAATAATGCTATTTATGGGGACATCTGATAAGATGTGCCATCAATATGTGAGCAAATCCGGAATACTAAATTCCCAGAATGATTTGATCCTAGAACATGACCACCATATATATGTCATGGTGGCTACATCCTCCCCACAACGCCAACATTTTTCAGGATAGGTCAAAATGATCTTATGTATTCCCACTGGAAATCTGTACCATCTTGTTAGTATTTTATAATTTTTCTCTTCGATGGTAGTTGAAATACTAGATTTGAATGTTAGCCTGAAAGACCTTTTCCACTCCCTCTCAATTACTATGTGGCATAGTTCTCTCTCCCAGTCTCTGGTATAGTAAGGTCAGTGTGGATATGTATGAGATAATAATATGCCATATACTGTAGAAATAGCACGTGAGCCCATCGAACTCCTCGTACAAAGTGATTCACAAGGGATTATCTTTATAACCCCATTTCTATGTAATGAACCTTTTATAGATAAATATTTGTAAAAATGTTGAAGTTGAAAATCATGGGGCCAACGGCCAGTATACAAATGATCTACAGATGACAAATTCGTTAAGTGGTAAAAGTTCCTCAATAGCAAGAGCCCGTTTAATTGAAGAAGGGGCCACAGACATTTAGCATAAAAATCGAGCTACCATTAGCCCCGGCTCAAATTCTGGGTTCCCCATAATTGGGGTAAGAGGGCCAGGTATTGTAGAAATACCCAATTTTTGAACGGTCCCATCCCAGGTTTTCAACACAGATTGTGTCAAACATGACATCTTGTCTGGGAGGACGCAACATAGGCTCAATCCATGGTAGGGAGGTCAATTGAATAGGGGACATTAGTTGTTCAATAGATGCCCACTGTTTTGAGTGGCTATGATAAAACCATCAAGAATCCTGGTAAGTATAGATGCTATATGATAAAATTCCATATGTGGTAATCCAACTTTCCCCTCCATCTTCCTCATGACCAAAATATCATGCTGAATTCTAACCGAAGCGTTTGACCAGATATATCAAAGTAAGCTAGACCGTAAGGAACAAAAGAACATCTGTGGAAGGGAGATGGGAAGTGTTTGGTATAGGTATAGAAAAAGAGGGAGAACATCCATCTTAAAAATTGCCATTCTTCCAAACCATGAATGTTTAGTCTTAGTTCTAGACTGCAACTCACTAATTATGGAATTTAATAGGGGTAAGTCATTTAATTCATATATTTTTTTCCTCTAAAAAGGAGTTCTATTTACACCTACATATTTAAGGCATTGTGCCTCCCAATGAAATTAAAATTTGGCTTCTATCTTTTTTTTTCCTCAGTAACTGCCAAGAGATATATTATATTTAAACATCAAGATTTTGTAACTTTAAGAGGAATCCAAATTGTTCCAGTTCTTGGAAGATATTTGAAAAAGTTATTTTTGGATTAGCTACATATAAAAGTAAATCATCAGCAAACATACTCAATTTATATTGAGTAGAGTAGAGTGAAATATACCTGGGTGATACTGTCTTCAGCTACTCTCCCATCTTCTCTGTATTCTCACTGCAGGTTAAGATTTTGTAGACCAGCTGGTGTCCTCTACTGAGCATGCTCAGTTCTACGCTCTTCATTTCCCCCTTTTTCTTATCTGTGCAGCCCATGTGACTATAGAGTCACACGTGTATACACAGTGGAAAATGACACTCCCCTCCCTCCCTCTCCATGTCTTCCTATTCCTAAACACTATGGGGCAGGATATAGTATGCCGATTGATCACATTCACAAAAAAAAAAAAAAACTTAATATAGCTTTAATATAAATCAGTATTATATAGATCAAATGTAATTGCTAACATCTGTAAAAGTAAAAAAGAGCATTGGATGCAGATGTTGTCTGGACAAAGTCAAAGCTACACCATGTTAATGCACAAGGAAAAAAAAAGTTTTTTTGACATTTTCAATTTAATTTTCATTGCGTTTCTGAAACTTTATGTTAGTCATGTGACTGGCACAGCGCCAATCAGAACAATGCAGACAGACTCACACTGCAGGAATAGAATCCCCTCCCAAGGTTCTTTCCCCCACGGATGCCACAGAACAGGGAAATATCATGTGAGCATACAACAGCGCTGCAGGAATAAGGTATTTGGAGGATTAAAAAAAACAAATACTATGTTATGACAAATATGATGTATGTGAATGAATTATCGTGATAAACACTTCTATGTTTAGTATCACTTTAATGTTTAAAAACTTGAACACCTGCTAACCCCCTGTAAAAAAAAAAAAAAAAAAAAAAAAAAAAAAAAAAGGGTACTTTTTCCTTGAAACATTAGATTCAAGTCACAAAGTGAAAAGGGTTTTCTGGCTAATAATATAAATGACAGGAATTTTGTTGTATTTGCTCTTAGGCAGACCTTTATATCTAAAAGTTAAAATGGAAAACATTCCCTTTTAAAATTAACATTTTTTTCTTTTTACTAAAAACGGCTCATATTCCCAAACTTCCACTGATCAAGTAAATGAAACATCCCCTTAGAAATTTTAACAATTGTGGGCCAGCTGCAACATATCAATCTCAAGAAGACTATACACCAATGACAACACTTCCTGTCAACAAGCTTTATTCATTCAGGCACATATCCAAATGAGTAAAGCTTGTTGAAAGAAACAATGTCATCGACGTGAGGTCTTCTATCATTTGGTACGAAGTTTACTGGAACGTGGACAGGCTCCTGTGTCCGGCACATGGCACACGGCACACCCACAGCTAAGGAGTTTGGCATAATATCAGTCTTTAGGTTACAAGATTTTAAACTGACAAGCAGCACTAAAAATATCAGAATAATGAAGGTCAAACACTGCATTCTTCTGCCAGCAACAAACAACAACATAGAAGAGATGTCCTACTTTTTGGGGCGAAATTCATCTAATTAGATTTGTCAATTTAAACATATGCATGGTGGATGTGATCAGATACAGCCAAATGTTTTGCCACTCCCTCTAGATGGAAAGCTCATGGGCTGGGCCCTCCTAATCCTCTTATCCTATTACTTTTTTTTTTTTTATTTAAATTTTATTTATTTTCCATATATATTGCACATTTCAGCATTATTCTCATACAAATTTACATATCTTTAATAACATTTCTAACTATCTCTATTCCCATTTACCACCCCTTCTCAATCTAATTTCCCCCCCACCCGAGGAAGAAAAACAAACAAAAAAAACAAAAAAAAAAAACCCATATAAACCCACCCACTCTGCATAATTCAATTATCCCTCTTCATACGCGAATATAGGGAATTTAAAACCTTCTATCCTTCTCACATAGTTACTCCATATATTTCACCATGTATTCTTCCCATGTTCTCCACCTCTTATAGAACAACCCCATCCTGTCTTCCTGCATATAACACAATCTCTCCATCTTACAAATTTGATTAGTTCTTTCCACCCAATCCTCTATCTTAGGCACCTCTGGTCTATGCCAAAACTTAGGTATCAGACCCTTCGCCGCATTTAGATAGCACCATATACCCGAATCCTTGTACTTATTTACTGATAACTCTGTACTATGTAGTAGACATACTGCTGGGTCCAGTCCTATCTTTATCCCGGAGATATTCTCAATTACTTGGACAATTATCTCCCAGAAACCTTGAATCTTTGGGCACTCCCACCATATATGATATAATGTGCCTATTTTTCCACATCCCCTCCAGCACTCTAGTGAATTTTCCCCACATATCTTATACTCAATATTCGGTGCAATGTGCCATCTCGTTAAACATTTATAATTTACCTCCACCTCTCTCATACTTATATTCTCGTGTATTAATCTATATATTTTCCTTTGTTTATCCTCATCTATCTCTATTCCCAGATCTATTTCCCATTTACCTATATACCTTGGTTTTGTGTAAGTGTCTAACTCAGTGAGGGTTTTATAAATTTTTGCAGTGCCTCGCCTCCCGTCACCTCGTGTTTCTAACAACCTCTCAAACAGGTTCCAATCCTCTCTCGA